ACTGTATTGCCACTCTTAAGGACTACGTTTCCCAGAAGCCAACAGTGCCCCACCCAGAAGTCCCATTGCCTTCTGCTGAAATACGTAGAGTGAAAGTTTTGATCTGATCCGAAAAAGTTCGGTCCTTTACAGTGACTTAGCCGCCCAGCGGATGCTGAGAGCTACACAGAACCCACCAGGACCTGGACCAGAACCGGACCTCCAGACCCATCGACAAATCTGAGAGCTGCTAGCCAGCCCACGAGGACTTCTGAGCAGGGGATGCACCACCGTAGGTCTGGTGCTCCCTCTGGAGACCACCAGGACTTTTTTCATCTCTATCAAACCTCTCAATCGGACTCCCGCACCTGCACCAGCCCCTGGAAGCCCCCCCCCCCCCCCCCCCACACACACACACACACACACACAAAAAGTACTTTGGCACTCAAGGGATGCACAGGACCAGACCCATCAGTGAATCTGAGAGCTGGTAGCTGACCCACAAGGACTTCCGAGTGGGAGACGCGCTGCTGTAGGTCTGGCTTCTCTCTAGAGCCCACCGCTGCTACCCCGAGCCAGAGAGCTGACCAGAACTGGCAGGGTACGTCTGCCGAAACGGAACCAAGTTGGAGCGGAACCGAGCCGCTGCTGTTCTGCCAAGTTGATGAGTACAATTTTGTGGTTACTGTATTTTCCACCATACACATTGTACCGCCCTATAAGTCGCTTTGGTCCAAATATGTCTAATAAAGTGGAAAAATCCATAAACATGTTGCTTCGCGGTATACGTCGCATCTATTATGTGTCACCGCTAACACGTTGCATTTGTGTCATGTCACCACTGACCACCCGGAAATGTGGGCCGAACCTGGAAATGTGGGCCGGTGTTGTGCCAAAAATTGATGGGCTGCCAAATGGCGTCCGCGGGAGCGTGTATGGGAGGACTTTAACAAGAGTTTAACAAGATTAACACTTAAAAACAATTATTCGTTTGCTCTAAATTATAGCAAAGGTGTGTCTCAGTTGAACTTTTGCTTACTAAATGAACTTTGATGGTCAAATCAGCTGCATTTTCAAAAGCCAATATGCGGAAACATGAACGCGTAGAGGGCGACTTGGTTCATTTTTTCGAAATTTTACAAGATAACCATCCAAAAACAATTGTGTTAGCTCGAAATTATAGTAAAAGTGTGTCTCAGTTGAACTTTTACTTAATAAATGCGTTTTAACAGTCAAATCAGCTTCATTTCGCCGGGGCGGCGCAGCGAAACGAAGCTGATTCGGTTGCTTCAGGCAGACGACGGTGGCAGGCTATGGCAAACCGATGGTCATTAATAGCCACGTTTACCTATTACATGATACAACGACGTGCCTTACAGCTCGACTGCCATCTAGCGGCTGAAAATGGTAGAGTTCAATTTTTTTCCAATCAGAATGAATGAAATCTCAGCCAGAAACTGGTTTATAAATATGGGGGGGTGGGGGGGGGACATAAATAAGTCGCTTTGGCGTATAAGTTGCAGGGCATGTAAATTATGCAAAGAACTGCGACTTATCGGGCGAAAAATACAGTACATATAAGTATTTTGTTAAAATGACGTAAGTTTAAGAGTTTAGAACATTGCAAGAGTGTGGGAAGGGTTT